CTTGCATGTAAGCTTTTCACCAACTAATAAGCAGGTAGCCGAGTATTTTTTTTATCGGTATTTTGGGGTTTGACAAGACACACGCAGACTAGATTGGAAAAAGAGCTAGCCAATTGCATACATTCGTAGTGACCCAAACATTTTTTGAATAAACTTGTAATTTGCTTCTTTTTTTTCTTCCCACTAAATAAATTAAATATGTCAATGTGGTGGAATTCGAAATAAACTGTATGTTCGCTGTCAGCGTCAATGAACCTTGGATCATAAATTCCATAGCGAAGGAATTATTTTGAACTGAGTGAATTATTAGTTCCATTTCGACCATTGTCGATTTCTCTATCCGCTTACACGTTGAGTGTCGCCAATCCTTTCATTGCTGCTGATATACCAACAATTAGCAATAATTGGGCAAATGAACGGATAGCAGATGTATGCCATGTATTAGATGGTCAGTTTTACACACATTGTCATTTAGTATTAGCAGTATATCGATGGCACTGTAATACTAAAAAACATGTATTGTATGTGAGGGGCACATATACAACTATTTATCAAGATATAATATCTTAATTATCCAAATAAACAAAAATAGAAGACACTTGACATTATGCATAATTGGCATCATTTGTGAATATGTGGGTGGTTCAAAAACGGCTTGCCACATATATAAATGCCTATCGTTTTGGAGCTAATAACTTATGACGGCATATTATTGATCGAATAAGCTCTAACCAAGTCCTTACCATTGACAATTTAAATTACACGTAATCAACATATAATTACAAGACGCGACGATGTTATGCAAAATTATGTGGCTAGCGTTAAACATTTTATGATGGAAGAGACTGCTTGGAGCTGCCCAATCCAGAAAGCCTTTGTATGTATGAACACATCTACAATAGCTTAATGAATACCCTTATAAAGCGGGTTAGCTTTATGTAATTAGATATTTATAAGGAATTCGCAACGTGATGCTACACTGCGACAACACTGCGTCCTTTATCGCACATATAAACGTTATGGAATTTTGTCGAGCAAGAACAACTCAAAATTATTATCACGAAGTCTAGAATTTGTTCCATGTAACTTTTTCCTTAGCTTTTAAAATTTGCTCGTATAATCAAGACAATGGTAACTAAAGTTTCGAAATTGCAAACTTTTGTTATTGTATCATTGTAACGCTTTCTTTTTTTAGTAATGCTTACACTTAAATTTATTGTTACAACTGTCGAGGCAATAGTCACGGGAGAGCGGATAACTACTGTCTCGGTTTAGGATCTAGCTGCGCCGTCGTAGGAGTGTGGCTCACCTCAGCGATAGCTAAACAGTTAGTGACCTTTTAATTTAGGCTTTCGGTGCTGACGTATTCGTATACGGATTGCACACACTAATCCTAGATAATTAATTATTCTCGAGAAACAAAACCGGCGGATTAATTCAGTAGTCTGTAGGTCGGAGTCTTAATAAGAATATAACGCGCGTTGAGAAATAATAATTAATTATCCTAATGCCACTCGATCGATTACGGGACAAGTATTATAACCGATCTTGCCGTTATACGGATCAATGCTTTAAAAATATAACGGAATATTCAGGGAAAAAATTATCGGTTCAGAGTAAATGGATACTCGTTTATTAATAAGAAATAAAGGAAATCGAACGTCTTCGATATAAAGGAATAAATGTTAGATCTCGAACATCGCGAACACTGAACACACCGATGCTAAACGACTTCTAAGCTGCGTTATATACTTTATCGTCTACTAATTGATATATTTTTAGCATCGTTCTAATTTCTAATTGCTAATCTACCATCACTATTGTTACTAGCCGTTGCTGCGCAAATAGCAGTTTCTGCTCGTACGACAATTCTGCCGGTACTATTTACTGCATTAGCCGTATCACCGTTCGGCACTTGTCTTACATTCTAATCATCTGTGTACTGACACCTATCGTTTCGCAGCAAATTCAGAGAGGAATACGTCATCTTCGGCTCTTGATCCTCACACTGCTAGTCTAACAAGGATGCACTTGGACCCAATACTTTCTTCATTGGGGCAGACTGCAACAAAACCAGACCAGACTATCGCGAGGAACTTTTATTCACAACGAGGTGCTCGCTAAAGCCCAATTTAAGCTGTTTTTATCTTTTACATAGTAAATTAAGAGAATAAAAGCCCAGAAAAGGCGGATTGCTTCTTATTATGAAGGGGGGGTATATCTATCTATTGCGAGTTTAATAAGTGAGTATATTTTTTGTATGGAGATCCAGGGGGTGCCTGGATCTGTGTGTAGGTCTAGAGAGCGTAGTGTTAGTAGGCGGTTAAGGAAGGTTTGGGTGATGTCTGAGTGAGAGGGGGTGGGGTTATGTCCGAAAGCCCTCGTGGTAAAGGCATTCCAGAGAGTGGATATTGTTGCTGATTGTATGGACCGGAGGAGACGGAGCTGTTGTTCAGAGAAGTTCGGATGTGGGATGTGTGGTGGGGGTTGACGTTTAGCTCCACATGCAAAGATCAGGTGGGCAGTGTCCCACATTGACTGTGCTATGTGGCATTGGTGGAGGAGGTGTAATGTGCTGTGTTCTTCATTAGGCAGTTGGTTTTGTCTGGTGCTATGGTTGCTACAGGGCGTCCCAAAGGGAGTCTCTCCCATGTGGCCATCCATAGAATGTCGCTGGCAGGGTGGTGGCGGTGTTTGTGGAAAATTTCATCCCAATTGAGTTGGCCAACACTGGGGATGGTAAGAGTGTTGGTTTCTGTGGGGCTTGGTGGAAGTAGGATGTTACACAGTGTAGGGAGTGTTGGGAAGGCAGCTATTGTGCCTGGTTGGTTATTTTTGATCTTCCTGCATGCTGCCAGGCAGCTGCGCAGGGGTTTGAAGGGTTTGCAGATACTGCGTTTTTGTGTGATTGATTGGATTATGTCTCTGTGGGAGGTTTCAGAAGAGAGAATGTAGTTGAAGACATGGATCCAGAAGGGTGGATGTGGGTTAAAGGCCAGGGAGATTGTTTTGGCCAGTCGGATTTCCATTTCCACTTTGATATTGGGGAGGTTGATTCCTCCTCTGGATCGTTCCAGGGAGGCAATCTCGAGTTTGGGATGGTATTGTCTGCCTTTCCAGATAAACTGGTTAGTGAGTGTTTGGAGTTGGGTAATGATGTTGTGGGGGGCTGGTGAGATTGAAGCATGGTACCAAAAGAGTGATAGGATAAAGGTTTTGAGTACCAGTATCCTACCTCTTAGTGATAGGTTGCGGGAGGTGAGTGATGTGGCTTTTTGAAGGAGAGAGTTCCAGAGGGTTGTTGAATTTTCTGGGGTGATGGGTAGGATTACACCCAGTGTTTTGAGTGGAAGGGGGGTTGAGGATGGGAACACAGGTGGATATATTGAGGAGGGGGAGAGAGGGTAAAAAGCTGTCTTGTTCCAGTTGATTGTTCCATTGGCAGCAATGAAATGCCTGTCAATCCATAGGTGGAGGATGGACAGTCTTGAAGGCCAGTCCCTCCAACGTATGTATCATCAGCATATGCTCAGACAGTGAAGTTGTGTTGGTTGATGGTGATGCCTCTCATGTTTGTGCGTAGTGCGTTAAAGAGTGGTTCAATGGAGATGTTGAAAAGGAGGGGGGCAAGAGGGTCTCCTTGGGGGACTCCTTGTTTAATGGGGAAGGGGGAGCTCAGTTTGCCATTAATAAAGATTGAAGTTTGTCTATGGTGGTAGACAGTTTGGATGAGCTTAATTGTTGATTGTTGAAGTTGAAAGCGGTGTAGTAGTAGGACATGGTCTATCCAGGCATGTGACACTCTGTCATAGGCCTTGGACCAGTCCAGTGACAGGAGAAAGGATAGGGGAGGGGGATTGGGGTTTTGAAGGAGAGCGTTGATGTCCAGGATTGTGTCAGTTATATGGCGTTGGGCCATAAAGCCTGTTTGATCTGGATGTATGAAAGGGTTGGAGAGGTTGATGTCTTGTAGTCTTTTAGCAAGGATGGTGGAGAGAAGTTTGAGGTCTGTATTAGAGAGGGTAATAGGTCGGAGGTTGGTAATGAGGGTTTGGTCTTGATTCTTTTTTGGTATAAGAATCGTGTGCGTTTCATTCCAAGTAGGTGGAGGTATTTGGCCCTCTGCTGAGGTTGTAGACCTTTGCCAGTATTGGGGCCAGGAGAAGTTTGAAATGTTTATAGAAGGCATATGTGAACCCATCTGGCCCTGGGGCTGATGAGGGTTGTTTGTCATTTATAGCTGTTATCACTTGTGATGTGTGGATTGGAAGTGCCAATGTGTCAGTGTCTGTTTTGGGTAATGAGGGGATGTAGTTGGAGAGTGGGGTGTTAAAGAGGGGTGTGAAGGATGACCATTGGTCATGGAAGTGTTTGGCAGCATATGTGAGGATTTCGTCTAGGTCCTCTGATGTGCGTGAAGCATTATCAGGGGGATTTGTGGATGTGGTTGTTGTTGAGCAGCGAGTGTATGAGTTAATAACAAAGTGATGGCGAAAAAATTGTACGGGCATGTGACATCGGGGTAGCGATCGGCTCAGAAAATCAGGTGAGCTACACCCCTGACAGCAACCGTTTGATCTATTACACATAAGGTATTTGTTTGGTGTTACAATTTCTTTATAAAGGTTTGTGTATATTATTATACAGTATTATTGACAGTATTACTTTAAAAGGACTTGTAAAAAAATTTCGACTAGGCGTATGACAAAAATCTCTTCCTATTGTACAAATTGTAAACTTTTTTTCATAAATACGATAAATTTATTAGTTAATAACAACTATAACAATAACTATAACAAAATAACAACAATAATAACAATAATAAATAAACATAATAATTTAATTGAGATAAAAAGCTAAATTTCTACGTCTAGGCTGCCAGGTTCTCTGTTGTGTCCTAGCGTTAAGTACTCTATCGCAAGCGTCTATTTCATGTCTAACAGGATTGAAAAGTGCTAGAAACCTTTGATAAAACATGTCATTTTGTACGTTTTCTTTTGCTAAGTCGAACCCATGAATGACCAATGATTGGAGTGTTTCTAGCGATGTTTGTCTTTCCCTAATAATGGACTGCCGATCGGTGGTGCTTATTTCTAATGTATTTGTTACCTCTAACGGCTCATTGATAGACTGATGTTCATTTTCCTGAACATTATTCCAAGGTATATTGTCTAATAGAATGCGTGCGTTAGACTCTTGGTGAAAATCGATAAACGGATAATCATGGCGCCGCATAATGTCCTTGAAAAGTGGCATAAATCCAGGAACGAGTCTGATTTTTGTTGCTACCAAATGTTTACAAATCAGGTAGGGATGTTTTAAATACGCTGGACATGAACAAATCCATGACACAGTATCAGTGTGATATTGATGTGCGTCGTCCATATCTTTTTCTTTTGCGTCATTCCATTCCCGTTTGAAGGCGTGCCACCACGAGGGAAATTCTCGATTGTTACAATATCTTCTCCACAGATCTATGTGGTCAGCAACCAATTGTTTGGTAATAATTTGCGTTAATTGGTCAAGTCGTGGTCGATTATATCTGTATTTGTAATTATATTTCAATACACGCCAGTGTGACTCAACTATCATTGTTGTGCGAGCAAGTGGAAGAGCTTGAGGATATGATGCACGTGCGAAATGATCCCAATGTTTTCTTTGATACCAATTACACCATAAATATCCCCACAAATGTATTAAGTCATTTGATTGGCAGAATTGGTATGCCTCCCGTACACTCTGATAATATATCTGCTCCTTTGTCAAAAAAGTATCTCTACTTATCGGTATCAATGGATGTGCAAGTGCATGCTTTTTAATTATTCGCAACACATCTTTTCTGTATTCATCTGGACAAATCGTGGCTGTATTATTACTAGTTGGTCGCCATTGTGGATCGATAAAATCAAACTGGCTGTTAGCCGCCTGTGCCATGTTTATAGTGTATTGGCTGTTTTTTTCTTTACTCTCCCGAATTTTTCTTTCTATTGCATGCACCACATGCCAGAGACAGATTTGTACAATTGTTCGTCCATCCCATGCTGCCTCTATTGCATTAATCTGACCAATATCCTTATCGACCAAGACAAATGTTGGGAGCACACCCTCACAGTGTAAAGCTGAAAAAAATTCACGGAGTACACCCTCACGATTTCGAATTCTGTTATCGCTATGATTATCTGACACGTTTTCTAAAGGAACAAATGTGTCCAGGTATAGATATGCCAATGGTACGCCATATCCGCCATTATTGACTATTACAGCGAACAGTTCAAAACGTTCTTGATTTGTCTTAAAAGTTGAGTCAACAACCAGTTCAATGATGCTACTCCTCTCAATAAATCGTAAAAATGGCGTAATAAACCCTAACGCTCTTACAAAATCATTTTCAAGGTAAAAAATTACTTTATAGCCTTCGTCCGCTTGTGTGTTATGATCGAGAAAATTTTTGGATGACTTGAGCTGATTTTTTGTATCAGTGACAAATTGATTTTTTGATAATTTTGCCACCCAATAATAGACTTGTTGATATGTATGCGTTTTCGGGTCAATTAATCCCTCATTAGATAATCTCTTGTAAAATTCGACTTTACGTATGCCGCCATAATTAATATTATTTTTTATCCAATTTATAGCATTGAGAGAGATATTAATGCCTCTATGCGTTGGCTTTGGGTGACTGCTTTGGTGGTTAAACAAGATTTTAGCCCTTTTACTGGAGAGATCGATTTTCATTGTTATGCTACCCTTACACGGATAATGTTGAATAGCTGGTCTAACCTCGCGTTCATACTTGCTTGATTCTTCACTGGACCTGGAAAACTGACGATCTTCTCTCTGTGTACAGCCAAAGTACACTGTAACCACTCCTGTAAATTCGCCGTCTTTTTTATTGACATGAGTTCTACGAATTTCCCAATAATATTCAGACCCGTTTTCTATGTGTACTTGTAGATGCTTTGCTGTCTCATGTGCCACTAAATTCAAGTCTTGATTGACACTTGTATCATTTACAATGGTCATTATATCATCAAGCTCTACCTCTAAACTGAACTTTATTGGTTGATCGTCATTATTGGTAAATTCGTCTTTTATCGCATTTTCAATGTCTTCGATGTTGTAAATAAGATCGTCATAATTGCTTTCATCATTTATTTCACTTCCGATTTCTGTGTCGCCTTGTCCAATTTCGCTGGAATCAAGTGTATCCGTATTTCGTTCAATAGAGCTTGATACTGATCAGCTTTTCTTTTTCTGTGAGCAAATATTGCACACAGAAAATGCTTTTGTATGCTGACCCCACGTTCTAACAAAATCGTCGATTCTTCTGGAGGTTTTACAACATTTACAATATTTCGTTTCATCCGATGTGATATCAGCGATAGCTAATAATGTAAATGATAATAAAATTGAGACATTTATCAAAACGGTAATGTTAACAATTATGGATCAACAACATAAATAATGCCAACCTTGATTATTACTTTGAGCAGACATAGTTAATGATGGGATGCAAAATTAGTTTCTGTAGTGGTAGGGATAATTTACGTAGTGATATTTGTAGAATTGTATCAGTGTGCTTTGCTGATTTTGGTCGGGTTTCCAAGATTTCATGCCATCGCCTTTATATAAACTTTGCCGTATTTACATTTATTGTAAAAAAATATAAAGGCACATCGTAAACGCTTCTTTGTTTGCACTTAATTTAAGTCATTACAAAGATAATTCGAATATTGAGACAATTAAAATTTAGCGCTTCCATTTTTTCATTGTAATTTTGATTCTTTTAATGCAACATTTAACATAGAAATTCTTTGTCTCTGCGGCAAATCTTTGATAGTATTTATAATGCTTACTATATATAGATGGTATCTATAACAATGGAATCTTTTCTTATGAGAAATTGTTACAACGACTATTATAAACAAAGTCCTATATTACGTAACACTTTCTCTACAAAGAATAAGAATAATTATTTATTTCATTCTCTCAGTTTTTTGTTATTTTACGACAGTATAGCACTTTTGATTGGTATATGAGACACAAAGGTACTAAGAATAACAATAAGAGTAAACAAAGTATATTAATACGTACTATTAAAGTAAGTATTAGTATATATTATTAATACTAATACCAAAAAAGAAATTGTAACACCAAACAAATACCTTATGTGTAATAAATCAAATGGTTGCTGTCAGGGGTGTAGCTCACCTGATTTTCCGAGCCGATCGCTACCCCGATGTCACATGCCCGTACAATTTTTTCGCCATCACTTTGTTATTAGTATGAGTAGAAGGGGGATGGGATGGGGAGGGAATGTGAGCAGTTGTGGTTGATGGAATTTGGAGGGAGTTAATGGTAGTTTTTTTACGGTAGTGATGGAATTGTTGTGGATTGTTCTCCCTCTTCTCGCCATTTGACCCTCGATTGGATTGCCATGGCTTCTGAGTGGGCCCTTTCTAGCTCTCTGAGTCAGTTGGTAATGGAAGTTATTGTGGCTAGGTTGGGGTTGTGGGCTCGTTGAAGTTTGTTGAGTCTGTTGGTTAGGTTGCATATGCCTTCTATTCTTTTAGCTTTTGTAGATTTTCCTGCATTCTGGCAGTATGTTCTGACAGAGTCTTTAATGTCATCCCAGTGATATGCCCGTTTGAGAGGGGGGTGGGTGGATATGATTTGTTTGATGGCGTTTGAGTGTTTTTTTGATTTAAGGAGTGCAGAGTTAAATCGCCATATTGGGGACTTGTTGGTGTTTCTTCTGGTGTTTGTGAGGATGAGGGCTCGATGGTCTGAGTCCAAGCCCATGTTGAGTGTTGTGATGTTGTAGGTGGGGTATAGTGAGGGGGAGGCGAAGATGTAGTCAATTTGTGATTTTGACCAATCGTTGCCCCTTTGGTGGTATGATGTGAATGCTGGCTTGGGGGTGAGTGCACCCATGTCAGTGAGTTCTGTTAAGTGTGGAAGAATGTATGGTCCGAGGGGGACTCATCTTCGATTTGTGGATGATTGGTGGTCCCCATCTACTAGTATGGAATTGAAATCGCCCCCTACTATGTTGATGGTTGGTGGAAGGGGGGGGGAAGGAAGACCAGAAGGTGTGTTGTTGGGTGTTGTCTGCTGGGGCATATACATTTCTGACGTTGACTTGGAGTGAGTGTGGGGATGATATGGTTACATCAATTATTCTGTGGTTGTCAGATTCGAGATGGAGGGTGGAATGAAAGTTTGGTGAGACCAGGGTTGCAACATATGGAGTTGCATGGATGTCCCCTTTCCAGACGGACATCCATGTTTGTGTTATGAATTTTAGGCGTTCTGGGGTGATGTTGTAGTCAAAGATCTCTTGGAGTAGGATGATATCTGGAGAAAAAGGAGTAAGTTTGTTTAGTGTACGTTTGAATTTGGTAAATTCAGTAAGACCCTGTGCGTTTAGTGTAATAATTTTCATGATGATAAATATAAGAGAGAGTATAAGTTAGTAGACTATATTGGGTACAGGGGGGTGTTACTGATCACTGTCAGTTTCGTTAGTTTTGTGGACTTTTGAACTTGTTTGTACGAAGTGTTTGAACGCTTGTTCATAGGTTAGGACCTGGCTGTCTGTTGATGGTGTTGGGGTGGGGAGTCTTCATGCGTTCTTTTGTTAGGGAGGGAGTCTATTCTCTGTTCGATGACTCCTTCCATTTGGTATGTCTTGTTGGTTATGTCTTCATCACTGAAGTATTCTTCTCTGTTCCCTGTTTCAGGGGTTATTGCTTGTGCAACAGGGGGTATGGTCTGTGTGTTATTGTTGGAGGGCCCCTGTTCAGCCTCCAGTTTCTGGTTGGTTTTCTTCTGGTTGGGCAGGCTTTGATTGGTAACTGCCATGGCATACGTTGTGACCTTGTCCTTTGGGGGGGTGGTTGTCTTTTTGGGGATTGGGTTACCCTGTTTGGGGGCTGCTGTGGTCTTTGTTCTTTTGGGGCAGTCCTTTCAGAGATGTCCCACTGATAAGCATTGTAGGCAGGTGGCAGGAGAGCCTGACCAAGAGAGGAGGACTTTCTGTCCCTCAACTTCGATAGTGGATGGAAGGTCCTTGGCCAGGTTGTGTCCTGGAAGAGCCTTGGCTAGCATTTCCCACCTGGTTGTCAGCAGTTTTTTGGACCCTTTAATGGTCCTTGGGGCCACTTCGACAAGTTGGCAGTGTTTGGACATTATCTGTCTGATTGCTTCTTCAAGCCGGTTTCTGTTCTTGATAGGTACATTTTCCATTCGAATAAGGGCGATGGGGGGTAGTCTCCCTTTTGGTGGGAGGATGGGGAGGGTGTGTTCTCCAACTTGGAGGACACCCTGTTCGATAAAAGTGTTTGCTTCATTGTCTTCTTCGAAGAAAACTTGGATGAACTTAACATCTGCCCTGAACTTGACCCCAATGGCTTCCTCAGGGAGGGCAGCCTCCAGGTGTCTCCCATCCAGTTCTTTGGGCATTTTTGAAAGGTCAAGGAAAGCTGAGGATGGGTCCCCTGCTGGGGGAATTCTAGTGGAGGAGGGGCGGGTATGGACAAGGTTGGTTTGGGTATTTCCCCAACTAAAAGACTCAAAAACTCCCTGGAATTTGAGAGCTTCAGGGATACCAGAGTCAGTATCCATGTTGGAGGTAGAGCTGTTGCTCGTGGACATTGTTAAGTTTAGTATTGATAGTAGGAGTATGTTGTATTCTTTCGTTCTGTGAGGCGCAGTATTGTTAGTGTACAGAGGAAAGAGGGATGTAACTCATCTAATGAGTCAGTGATGGCGAAAAAAAAGGGCAGTCACATGATTAAGACTGCAGTATGATTGGGTCGTGTGCCAATGGATTTATGCCACTGATTACACTTTATTATTATTGATCGTTCGCGTTGTTATTATTATTAGCTTTATAAACATTTCTATTACTATCTATCTAATTTAAGTAAAAAGCAAGTCTTGAATTGTGTGGTGGGTTCCACGTTCGCTGTTGCGTTCTAGCTCTTAAAGCCTTTGCACACGCTTGTGTTTCGTACATTAAGACTTGTCTCAGTCGCTTATATGTATGATAAAACTGATCGTTTTGGATATTATCTGACAATTTTCAATAACGACTCAATTTTCTTTTTGTCCCAGTAAGTTCAATTCTTCTAGATTCAATTAATAGATAATGATCATGAAGACTTGTTTCAATATTATGGTCCATGTTCATTGAAATCTCTGACTTATCTATGGGATTGTTTACCAGATCAATGCTTGCACGAGCTTCACCAACCAAGATAAGTGGACAATCTCGTGTTGTTGTCGCATATTGAGGAAAGAATGATGGATTTCTGTCTCTGCATGCTTTTATGATATGTTTACACAAGAAGGTGTTACTAATAAATGCAGGGCATGAGCAAATCCAATTACTGATATCTGTTAAATAGTTGTCTTCTGAGCCAATATCCTTATTTATGCTATTTTTTATTCATTTTTAAATGCTCCCCCACCAGGAAGAGAAAGCTCGATGATTGTTCAATCACTAATCCAGTTACTTATTTGATCAGGAATCAATTCTCTTGTTAGGATCTGTGTTAGGCAGACGATTACAGTTATACTTGTAATTATATTTTAGAACATGCCAGTGTGATTCTACAAGCATTGTTGTTCTTGCTAATGGTATTGCTCTTGGATAAGAAGCCCTGGCAAAGAGATTCCAATCTGACTCATTATACCAATTAATCCCACAAGTGAACCAGATTGTTTCCTCTACAAAATCTATACATCTCTTCAACACTCTGGTAATAAATTTTCATTGAGGTAAGAAAGATTTCTCTGCTGATTGGTATAAGTGGATGAAGTCCTTTTACCATATTTAATACTTCTTTTCTTTTTTCTTGTGGGCACAGAATACCTCCAGGTATCCAGGATGCATCAATAAAATGAAATTGTTCATTGGCTTTTTTTGCTTTTCGTGCTGTATACTGACTCGACTTATACTTTTTATCTTGTAGTTTACGATCAATTGCACGTTTGACATGCCATAAGCAAAGTTGAATATTGGCTGTCCAAGACCAGGCCTCCTGTATAGCTGCTATTTGGCCAGCATCTTTATCCACAAGAACAAAAGTAGGTAAGATTTCACTACGTCTTAATGACAGAAAGAATTCTTTAAGAACTTTTACTCGTGAGTTAATTGTATTTCTAGGATCGTGCAGGAGATCGTCTGGAGCTGTGAACGTATCAACATATAGATATGCAATCGTATATTAAACAATTTTACATACTTGTAATTTCGATCCAGCATACACGTTTATTGAGCGTGTCGTCCCAATGTCGAATAAACAGTTGTAGACATTTGTAATTTCAATCGAGTGCCCACGTTTAATATGCGTACGATTGAGCGTTTGCTTAGCGAATGTTCTACACTTACAAACGTAATCGGGTGCAAGCGTTTGATAACTCGTAAATCAAATAATTTTTACGCACTTTGAAATCTCAATCCAGTATATACGTTTAACTAACGTATAAGAATATAAGCAATTACAAGTGTAGATAATTATCCTACGTTTGTTCTGCATTACTGTGAGCGTTAGTTAACGTATTACCACACGCTTTTGAATGAAAAGTTGATTAAATTGACCAAATAAGCGCTTAATTTAAAACGTTTGCAATTGCAAACAGCGCGTTTATTCAGCAATTAAAAGTCCTACAGTTTTCGTAATGCGAGGGTCCAAATCTAATTGATTCATGCGCAAGTTAAAGTATGAACAAGTCTTTTTTTATTTACAAGCAATTATTAACTTTCGTACCAGAATTTGTTTCAATAGGCCTTCATCAAGACTTGCGGCTAGAAGAATGTTTGCACTGATTTGGTCTGCTCGACGCCCACCTAATTTACCAATTGATTGAAAGAACAAAAGCAATGATTGAAGCCTGGGTTCGCAATCTGACTGAAGAAAGGATTGTGACTTCCGCTCTTAAGTTTTAAATCAACATCAAGGTCACGGCGCAATATTAGAAAATTTCACAGAATACTCAAATCGTTAATTCCTTCAGCGTCATCTCTTTAGGCGATTTACAAAATCACGTTTTCGAGGTTTATCAAGTCAGTCCGTGATGACTTAATGAACTCTTCAAGAAGTTAGAAATGTATTGTCCGAAAACATTATTAATTTGTATAATACTAATAAAGAAAGACAAAGTTGAAATACAGTATGTTGTCCGAAACGTTATTTCTACAAAGATTTCTAGAAATTTCCAGAATTTTTTTCACTATCATAAAAAGAAAGATCTGCATCATCCAAATCGGGGAATATCTCTGACTGGATTGGTTTTTCATCTTATGAGCGTTATACAAAGATCGCACAAGAGTTACACTTAATAAATACGGTCAACCCTCTTTATATAGTTTCTTTATGAGCACCTCTTTATTAGCACCCTGTTTGAGAACCAATTACTATCTATACATTGTTTCCTGACGGCGTGACTATAAAGAGGGTTGACTGTAGATATTGAATTATTTATTATTAATACTTTACTTAAGACAACATTAGATTCACAAAACGATAAACATAGGATATCAATTTGTTGATTTCCCATGGAAACACAAATATGGAACAACATATTAATATGTATTTGTGTGATTTCAAATTTAGAAATGTCTTTAGATAACGTTGAAAAGTTTATGCAACATTGTATTTTTAATTATTATATTCTGACGGTTTATTAACAGCAAGACTTTGTGCTGTCACCGCCACACACACACCCCGACTCCTACCTACAACGCATTTTCGCAAACGTTTCTATTATCGGAGTCTTCATCTCTACTTCGGCACCGCTGACACCGTTGCCTTTTC